CTGGTTTAATGAGTTGAGTGACACCGAAGTGTTTTGAAAAGACATTCGCCTGGCCGGCTATAAACAAGTGATGACATAGTCGAAGAAATCTGACAATTCTGAATCAGAAGCCCAAAAAAATCGATTGCCCAATGTAGTCTTCAGTATAACAAACCTAAATTGGTCACCTTATGATGTTATCTATAAAAGATGGAGTCTTTGTGCCGAAAAGATTCAGTAAAGACATCAGATAAACTCGCCGATCGCCCTAAGCATACAGACTTTGCCAGTTTTACACTATACAAGATTGATGAAAATCTGAATTTTATTAAATCATTCCGAATTGTATGAAAGAATGAGAAAAAACTTTATTCTTTTACCTTCAATTTGACGTTTAAATCGTTTAATTATCTTGAATAGTCCCCGAGCAACGACCGTTTGAAATCCCGGCATTCTTTTAAAAACACCCTGTAAGGCATGGATCAGATAGGTCTTAGTGATTTCATCTCGGAGTCTCCTTAATAGATAGAGAACTCTAGATAACCTAACACATACCTTATCAATTTGGTTAGACCAGTTTAGCCTAGAGTCCAGCCAAAACCCAAGCAACTTAACAGCTTCCTCATGATTAGCCCTCGACTTGAGGGTGCACATCAATGATTGAGTATTTTCTTCGTTTATTTTTAAGCAATTTGCAACAAACCAGGACTTAGCCTCAACAAGTAGCTTGTCAGCTGTTTCTCTCAACAGGGTAATGTCTTTCCCTCTAGTCACCAAGGTGGTGTCATCTGCAAAGAGGAGGGTGCAGCCGTTTGACCAAAGGTCATTTATCATGATGCTAAACAATAGTGGACCTAACACCGAACCTTGAGGAACGCCATGGGGGATACCTTGGACATTTGAGGAGATTCCATTCACTGACACAAGTTGTCTACGATTTTCCAAATAGTTCTGCAGGGAGCACAACACTGCACTACCAATACCACATTTTTCAGTCTCCCTAAAAGGATGTTATGGGAAACAACATCAAACGCCTTATTCAGATCATATAACCTCAGCATGACTGAGTCATTACACTCGAAGGCTAATTATTTCTGACGTGCAGACTTGAGGTTATCAGTAGCTCCGGTTGTCCCTATTATTACAGTATTTGACTTCTGCTTGTTCCTGTGGTTGAGGTTCTGCGTAGTTCTTTCTGAATCAGTTGGTCTTAAATTTTAAATTATTTTTCACCACATTAGAATAGGAAACTCGAGATTCGGTCGATACTGGTTTATTTCCTCATTCCATCATTTTCGTACAACTTGATTCCATGGTGATTCCTTCTGCGATGACTCGCAGTTTCAATTCCAGGTTCAGGTTCATTTCCACTTTTCATCAGTGCAACTTCGGTTTCTACTACAGCTTCACTCTGTTCCAAAATCATAAGTCCGTTTCGGTTCCTTTTTTCGCTCAGTTCCCGTCCAGAGTTTTTTTTTTTTTCAGATTCACTGGTTCTTAAATTTTGTCTTAGTTTACCAAAGGCCACATTTTGTCTCCCACCAATGACAAACTCGTACCTTTCAGGTTGTCGATGTCTGCTGATGACGTCATTGGAACTTCAATTCTCTGACTTGAATCCAAAATGTATACTTCTGGCAAAGAACTAACCTCAACCTTGTGTAATTCCATAATTTGATTTAGTCCAACCTTAGTCTTAATGCTATTTGTTATAAGAATCTTAATTTTCTTCTCAAGGTTTAGTCCGATTTTATGGAAAGCTGCTACCTTACTTTTCATGTCGTTAAGCTCGTCAATCAAGTTTGTCATCGGAGGTTCATCATGCACGATATTAATCCTTCTAGTGCAGGGATTGCAAAACCACTTAACATGCTCCTCTATCTTCCTAATTTCATTAAATGTCTTTGTAGATATATTAATGCTTTTAGAGTGATGCCACAAAACGCAATAACCATCACAAAGAAAAGTTTTTTCATCATTCAGACACAATTTTAGACACAACTTCACCTTTCGCCATTACCACAGTCTTCTAAGAAGTGGTGGTATCAAGAATTGGTATCGGGAATCGACACATCTACACTTGTGTATTGATATAACTACAGGTGGAAGTGTGCCACCCGTAGCCACTCCAAATACTGTGTAAAACACCACATCACAAAGTTTCGAATAATGTCTGATTGCTTAGTTAGTTCATGATTGAGGCGCTAGAGCCTATAAGATAAGTTTGTCGGTTTCTTCAGACAGTGACGATGATGATGCATAAAGCCAAGGTGTTTGGTTATGTTTATTGTTTTATGTAAACAACTGATTTTCATTTGATTATAAATAATTTTAATTTTTGTTAAATTGTGCAATAAAGAATAGCACATTATTACTGGATATATTGGGGTTTTATGATAGCATTCAATTCATTGAAACCCAAATTCACTCCAAGTACTACCTGTAGATACTGTAGTCCGTATGCCTTCTAAAAACACTAATTCATAGGTCTAATAAAACCACTATAGAAACTCTGAAATGTCGCTTTGTAGTGTACAATCACCAAAGTAACCGAGCCCACCTGTGTTTGGGAGTTTTAGGGAGCACTGAGTGTACCACCGGTGGTACACATCGGTTTTTTTAAAAACTTGAAAAATCAGAAAATATTTTGTTTGATTGATCATGTTAAAATTAGCTAATTAGCATTGCCTACTAATTATCTCTCCATTGCACACTATACTTTGGTATACCAGTTGATAACTTTACTAACAATGGTGCTCTAGTCATTCTTGTAAAACCCTGTCAAATTACATTACTTATGTGTTACTAACAGACATACAAATAAACATACAGACTTAGATACAGGATTGGGTAAGTAATTTTTGGCTTTGTTTTGGGTATGAAATAATTTAATAAAATGTTAACCCAGGCAATATAGACAGAAACTAATATAAGACTAAGACTAGTTTTGTCTTTCTTCTGCTATAGAACATATAAATAACCAAAAACTTCATGATTCTATGCAATTTACAGACAAAAGTGTAATTTTATTTATATAGATTAATGCACTTAACAAGCTTTAATTTTACTGTTCATTTTGTTAAAAAAGAATATTGATATTCAGATACGGTAAATAATGTCATCAGTTTTTATTGTCATCAGTTTTTATTGTAAAAACAAATTACTTATGTTAATAGCATAAACTTAAATAATCAGTTTTTAAGAGTCCTTTTAGGCTAGCGGCCATCTTGGATGATTTCTAACAGCTGCTGAAGAGTTAATTATCATCCAAAAATAGTTTTTCAAACACCAATGTGATTATAATTTTAATATCTAGTACTGTGAGATTAGTTGTTTAATAGCTATTTACATTACAAGTGTAGTAAGAGCGTTTTTACATCACGCAGGTGAATGTTGTGCAACGAGCGGAAGCGAGTGCAACGCAACGCTCTTGCGCAACGTGTAACGTACAAGATTTTACCTGACCCGACAATATACATGGGTTTACGTACAATATTTTTCATTATCCATTTCACTCATCGTCTAACAGTAACGTTCTTTTACAAACAAAAGCTAGGTTAGGAAAATACTTTAAAGCCTAACAATAACATTCAAGCGCACAGCTGATTTCTAGCGTTGAACGTCGATGCCTCCATAGAGGTATATTTTTTTAAGTTAAGCACTCAATGTTATTTAAATGGGTTTCATTACATCACCGAGTGAGTTTTTTTTCAACTTTACATCACTCGAGAAGTAAGGAAGTTGTATACATTACGCTTGGGATAGGGAAGTTTAACATGGCGGGTTAGGTAAAGGAAAAAAAGCAACTTTTCTTTGGAATAATTATTGAGGAGAAAGGAAGGATACTAAACTAACTCACCTGAATAAAGAGTCCCAGGTGGTCAATTGAACACATAAAAAGTACACATTAAACTGATATTTCACCACTTTCAGGGGCTTCTTCAGAGGTAGAAGGTAGAATGGCAGTTACAGTTCTAGCACTGTTTTAAATGTCTGACAGGCTTGCCACCTCCTAACTTGTATACACTACAAATTATAAAATTAGAAACTGTATATACACATATACACCAGATATATACACCAGTGCCAGAACTGTAACTGACATTTTACCTTCTACTTCTGAAGAAGCCTCTTAAAGGGGCGAAATATCAGTTTAAAGTGAACTTTTTATGTGTTCTATTGACCTCCTGGGACTCTTTATTCGGGTGAGTTAGTTGTGTATCCTTCCTTTCTCCACAATAATTATACTAGAAATTTTCTCACGCGGTCACAGAAACGTCATTGTCATTGTGCGCAACAGTGGTGAAATTGTGAATATTTCCTGCGGCCGTGTAGACATCATCGTCTCCCGTGGTCACAGAAAGGTCATATATATTTACACCAGTGCCAGAACTGTAACTGACATTTTACCTTCTACTTCTGAAGAAGCCTCTTAAAGGGGCGAAATATCAGTTTAAAGTGAACTTTTTATGTGTTCTATTGACCTCCTGGGACTCTTTATTCGGGTGAGTTAGTTGTGTATCCTTCCTTTCTCCACAATAATTATACTAGAAATTTTCGTTGTTGTTTTGAATTGATTTCCATGGGATCCCATGGAAGTTAACAGTCATCTTGGATTTGCTCGCCATAAGAGCAATGCTATTTTGGTTATTTTCTTTGTAGTTTTTTTAATTGTTTAATGAGTTAGAACGTTTAGGCTCCATGGACTCTTATTATAAAAATATGTAAAGTAGCTTATATAGTTAGTTAATAATAGAATCTTCTGTTCATGAAGATTACATAGAAAACATGAAAGGCCAGTAGACGGAACTGAGTTTCAAGCACACTTAATGAAATTGACATGACTTGTTACCATTAGTTTCTGAGAAGTAGGGTTTAATTACGGTATTATACAAACAGAAACAGGAAACAAATAAAAAAAGGGATAAAAATAATGTAGTTTTACATCAATGGAAATATTGTATGTTTTGCTGAGTTTGTTGTCAGTAAAATGAATTAATAGGTTTGGTGATATTGTTTAGAGAAGAGCAAAAACCAAAGCAAGTAGAGCATTTTGACTCCTACAGTGCCTCGGATCTGAAGAGAATCAATCAGTTCCCTCACTTGCAGCCGTTAGATACATGTTACGATGTCCTTTGTGATCCATATTCCTATCAGGTATTGTACATATCTTTAAACTTGTATAGCTATTTAAAATACAAAGTTTTTGAAAAACTTTTACAAACGTTCTCATTATGAGTAGGTCTTTAATTGGCTTAAACACCAAACCATTTTACTCAATCACACCCTTAGCTAAATTTTTTTTGATTGAACTCGTAAAAGATCTAGGTTAGAAGTAATGAGTGTCGATACCAAAATATATCAATTCTCGATTCCGATACCATTATTTAATTGTTTAACAAAATTTTCGAATGGATCGGTCATACTACACCAACCTCTGTCTTTATGTCCTTCCATAAAGTATTTTTGAGGTAATTGGGTGTTTTTAAAGTAAATATAAAATGTATGCAGTAATGATACATTCCAACTAGCCAATTTAAGTTCAAACCATTATAAATACGATAAAAAACTACCATATTAACAAGATACCATAAACTAGAATAAATCAAGATCCAACAACAAAAATCAAAATGAAAATGATATTATAGAAAAGTGTGCTATCATTACATTTTCAGTCAAGCCAAACTCGAGGTAATATCATGATCATCGCCAGCGGTCGTGGAAATATCATCTTCGTCTTCTGGGATCACTGCAAAATCTGAAATATCTTCCTCGATTACGGAAACACCATCGTCGTCTTGCGTGGTTGTGGCAAAATCATGAACATCTCCTGTGGCCGTATAGACATCATCATGAACTCCCGCAGTCACGGAAACGTAATCTACGTCGTCCGCAATCGCGGCAAAATCATGAACATCTTCCGCGGCTGTTTGGACATCAACATCATCGTTTTTTGCGGTCACAGAAACGTCATCTTTGTCTTCCGCGATCGCAGCAAAATTATGAAAATCCGCGGCCCTGTTGACATCATCATTGACTCCCGCTGACTTGGAACTTCATTGTCGTCGTCCGCAATCGCGGTAAAATCATGAACGTTGCCCGCACCTTTGTAGACGTCATCGGTTTCTCACGCGGTCACAGAAACGTCATTGTCATTGTGCGCAACAGTGGTGAAATTGTGAATATTTCCTGCGGCCGTGTAGACATCATCGTCTCCCGTGGTCACAGAAAGGTCATCGTTGTCAATCACGATTACGGCAAAATCATGAACATTTTCTGCGGCAGTGTAGACGCCACCATCGTGGCAAAGGAAACGTCGTCGTGGTCTTGCGCGTTCGCGGCAATAGCAGTAATTTTCTGATCGCGCGGGTGTGACGGTTTTCGGCATAGGAACCGACTTTTGACAATCAATTCTTGATGCTGATATCAACGACCAAGTATCAGTGGTATCGAGAACACATCCCTAGTTAGAAGCTTGACATATCTCTCAACTTTGGGGACACCTGGCTGGAAAATATTTATAGTTTTATGTCTGCTTCATAATTGATGTTTTTTTTTTTTATCAGAGGCTTCAACTAGAGAGGGTGAGTGTTCATGAGTGGCGGAGGGGAGACTACAAACACACACAGAAGGTGGTAGAGAGACTTATATTACTGGGAGAAATGGACAGGGCTGTGCAACTATTACTGGAGACTGACCTGGACAACCCCAGCTACTACACTGATGGCATCAAGTGAGTACACAAGAGTTACAACTAATCCAAACACAGTGGCCTAACAGAGTGAATTAGGCTAATCAAATTAATTGGTGCCGGATCCTGTTAAAATCTTCCTTGATCATCTCCTGCTGTCTTATTATTCTTCTTCATAAAAACCTTAAAGAGAACTAAACTAACACCTCTAATGAATAGATGCTTGGCCATAGGCTATTGGTGATTACTCCAAGTTTTCCAACTCCTTAAAAAATTTTAGTCAATCTGGTTTTCCTAGTTTCATTGTTGTTGTGTTGTTTCATTGTGTGGCTATAAAATAACGAGGCTGGTTTTCTAAGAAAAAAAACTGAACCTAGGCCAAAAGTCACATTGCCAAGTCGCCTGACATCCTACCTCCACCTTAAGGCTGGTTTGATGGCACTTAGCTCGGCCAGTCTTTGTTCCTGTTAGATCATGTACTGCTCGTTGGAAAATGGTGTGAATAAGTAAAAGGTCAAAGGGAAATCATTTGTGAAGCTCAGTAAGTCCACTATAGAGACTTTTGATCTATTAAAACAAAACAAGTATATTTTTTAGTTATGTCATGCACATAGTTTTTCAGTAGTATGAATGTTTCAAAGAAGGGAGAGAAGATGTGAAAGATTATCCACACCTAGGACATCCTTCAACTACAAAAACTTATGAAAACATTAACAGCAATCTCAATTGTCAAGACTGTCGTTTAAGTCTCCGTAGATTGAGTTGCTTGAAATGTAGGAATTGACAAAGAATCAGTGTGACATGAGAGATTAGTTTTAACGGAAAAAGTGTTTTCTTAAATGGTGTCAAAACTCCTCTAGACTGAATAAAAGCACTTATGGGTAGAAATTTGTTCTGACACCTTGGAAAACCTGAAGAAACTATTTAGGGTGTTTTTAACTTTTCCAACTTTTTTAAAACTACAAGCTTAAAAAAAATTCATGTTGACAGTTGACACGTTGTAAAATTATAATAACACCTACTATTTATTTCTGACATGCGGCAAATACACAATCAGATACAAATGACTGGAATGTGGAGGGGGGGATGTCAGGCGACTTTGCAATATGGCATTTGGCATTCAGGATCACACAGTTTATGTCTTGGAAAACCGATCTCATTTTATAGTCTATTTTATAGCTTCACCTCGTATTTATGAACAGCTTCAATTTCCTCTTGGTTCTGTATATTCCCTCCAAACTTGGACACCCAGACTTGTTGTATATCTAGGGCTGAAGGATCTACCGTGTTTAGATGGTTACAGGTACCTGGATATGTCACTGGACACCCAGACTTGTTGTATATCTAGGGCTGAAGGATCTACCGTGTTTAGATGGTTACAGGTACCTGGATATGTCACTGGACACCCAGACTTGTTGTATATCTAGGGCTGAAGGATCTACCGTGTTTAGATGGTTACAGGTACCTGGATATGTCACTGGACACCCAGACTTGTTGTATATCTAGGGCTGAAGGATCTACCGTGTTTAGATGGTTACAGGTACCTGGATATGTCACTGGACACCCAGACTTGTTGTATATCTAGGGCTGAAGGATCTACCGTGTTTAGATGGTTACAGGTACCTGGATATGTCACTGGACACCCAGACTTGTTGTATATCTAGGGCTGAAGGATCTACCGTGTTTAGATGGTTACAGGTACCTGGATATGTCACTGGACACCCAGACTTGTTGTATATCTAGGGCTGAAGGATCTACCGTGTTTAGATGGTTACAGGTACCTGGATATGTCACTGGACACCCAGACTTGTTGTATATCTAGGGCTGAAGGATCTACCGTGTTTAGATGGTTACAGGTACCTGGATATGTCACTGGACACCCAGACTTGTTGTATATCTAGGGCTGAAGGATCTACCGTGTTTAGATGGTTACAGGTACCTGGATATGTCACTGGACACCCAGACTTGTTGTATATCTAGGGCTGAAGGATCTACCGTGTTTAGATGGTTACAGGTACCTGGATATGTCACTGGACACCCAGACTTGTTGTATATCTAGGGCTGAAGGATCTACTGTTTTTAGATGGTTACAGGTACCTGGATATGTCACTGGACACCCAGACTTGTTGTATATCTAGGGCTGAAGGATCTACCGTGTTTAGATGGTTACAGGTACCTGGATATGTCACTGGACACCCAGACTTGTTGTATATTTAGGGCTGAAGGATCTACTGTGTTTAGATGGTTACAGGTACCTGGATATGTCACTGGTTTTTGTGTTTTGCTGTTTTTGGGTACCTTCGAACTAAAATCATCATCATAGTCCTAGGTCTAGTTAAGAAGGCTATTTCATAACGCATCAGAGCATCAGGCCTTCAACATTCAACAAAACGTTTTGCTCTGTAACATTCTTTCCCTACAACTATTATTCACAATATGTATTTTTCCTGTACATTTCTGTGGTTATTCTGTACAAAACCTTTTGTGGTTAAATGGTAAAATTTAAGTCAGTAATTCAGTTATATAACATAATTAATAAAGAAGTTAAATTTTTAGAAGATTTTTTTGTATATAATGTCACATTAACCCATGAGTAACACTTTGTCTTGAAATAAATCTGGCACTACCTTCACTTAAAGAGGCAATGATATTTTAATCAACCCTCTAAGCCAACTAAACTGTAAGATTCAGATAGTTTTAAATTGATTGTTTGTACAGAGCATGTTTGGTGGCAACAATCCAGTCTACGGGAGCAGCTCAGAGTACCATCAAGTTGGTGGCTACAAACCTTATAGCCAACGGAAAGATTTGGGAAGGTACAGTACATTTCCTTTCCAAAATTAAAATTTTGAAAAGTTCTTGCTGAAAAACAAGTTTTTTTAAGACTTGGCTATAATTTTTTGTCTGGATAACGATATATTGAGTATTGAAATACCCTTTCTGCAATAAACCTGCAGACTAAGCAAATTTGTATTTGCTTATTTAGATTTTAACTAAAATATTTCCATAGACATTTAAGATTTATTATCTATTTAAATAAAATTAGGTTTGACAAGTACTTTAATTTGCTACTTCATAGCTAATGAAATGTTCTTTAATAAAATGTTAATGGGTATAAGCCTAAATGTTATAAATCCGCCAAATTTTATCACACTAGATACCTACATAAACGGGGAAACTATCTCAACAATGTACATATTCTCCATAAGAATAGAATAACATAGAAAATTTAAATTTAAATTTTGTTTAGTTTTCTCACAAATATTTTATTGTAAAACAATGCTTTAATATACACAATTTTTTGTGTTCATCAGCTCCTCTACACAATGACTGTAATTTATAATATGAATTTGAAACTTATAAATTTTTTTAAGCTTATCCCTAAAGTAACTACAACATTTCAATATATTAAATTTAAATTATTTGTTATAATTTATTTTTGTATATATATAAAATCCAATGTATGTTTGTTAGTATGTTTGTTTGTATGTTTGTTAGTTTGTTTGTTTGTTTGTCCTTTATGGACTCCGAAACCGCTAGACAGATTGTAATGAAACTTTCAGGCATTATTAAGCATTATTCAAGGATGGTTTGTGTGAAGTTTGGTGCAGATTCGTCAAAAGGGCTCCGTCCCAGTGGCTCTGGAGTTTTCCATGTTAACCTTATGAGTACTCATATTTAAATGGAATTAAAGAATCTTAACAGCTGGTTCAACTAAACAATTTGATTCTGTGATGTTCAATAGCATTAAAACGTTAATAGGTTTACCAACAGGGTGCAGCACTATTATTTTTTTTTAATTTGAAACAACACTAACAGCTAATTTGCAACTAAAAGGTGAGTGAGCGTAGCGAACGAACTACAACCTGGAAGCGAGTTAGCGTAGCGAACGAGCTCCAACCTAAAGGTGAGTGAGCATAGCGAACGAGCTCCAACCTAAAGGTGAGTGAGCGTAGCGAACGAACGTCAACCAGGACATGATTGAGCCATGCGAACAAGCTCATCTTGAAAATGAACGAGCATTGATATAAAACCACATTAGGACAGGACGACGTCTGTCGGGCCAGTTAGTTTATTAATACACGGCAATACACCTTTTTACATTGAGTGTTTCTTGATGTTTGATACAAATATAAATAGGCAAAATGCATGTAAAATTAAATTTTTTTGCAATAAAAACTTGTTTAACACGTTTGCTGCTGAGTGCTAGATGCCGGGACGGCGCCAGGAGCAGAACTAACACTTGCCACTACGTAACATTGCCGCTGATACACTGAATTGCAGTAAAAACAACAGTAGTTATACTGGATAGCAATGTTCTGCAATAAAACTGGCTTCGGACATATTACCAAGCGATTCTGATAGATAGCAGCACTACCCAGGTTGCAGTCGGTAAAGTAGGGTTGCTATCTAGCAGGAAAGAGGTGGGACAAAGCCCTGTTCTATGTGACCCTGTTGGTGATTTTGGGAAACTATATTTTTCACTGTCAGAAAAGTACGTCCCCACGAGCTGCAAAGAAATATCTAGGACGCTCGTGACGAGCTGGCTGATCCTTGGAAACGTTAAACAACAATGAACGGTGGCGTTCCGGTTACGTTCCTAGCTCCTGGCGCCATGGCCCCGCTGACTAATCCTGAACGTCTGTAGCAGCGAACATGTTAACTAGGATTTCCCCCTCTTTAACACCATTATTACATTTCATCATAAAAAAATTAAGGGTTCAAACTATTATTTTCAAATTAATTAAAGGATAAGGATATGGTAGAATCAAAAAAATTACGTAACATTATGAGAAAATGAATATAGATTTTACGTCTAAAGTTTAAAGAGCTAAATATCCAAAACTGCTTATATACCCATTTTTATTTTGGGGTCCACTAGACTCCTGCACATGCAAAGGTTAATAACATGGATTAGCTCTTCAAAATGTAGGGGTGTGCGATGCATCGAAAATGCATCGAAATTTGCATCGAAATGCATCGATTTGGCCTCGATGCATCAAAAAGACCGATGCATCGATTAAGTCCCGATGCAACGATTACGTCCCGATGCATATTTAAAACTAATTTAGGACTCCAAAATGAGTTTTAGATAGGGAAGTGTCAATTATCGCTACCACCGATACTCGGACATTGCCGATACTAGGAATATCGGTATCAAGAATCGATTGCCAAATGTCGATTTCGCCCGATTCCGCCGATACCGACACCCGACAGGGATGGATAGATATTTTATTTTAACATTTATTTATTTGATAGCTATTAGTTTTGTAATCACGCTAACAACTTTAGTAACCAACTTAGCGCACTATTTAGTTCAAAACAGCTAAAGTTTAGCTTCAGCTGTTCTCTCTGCAGGCAGATGATATTGCACAACACAATACAATCTAGACATTTCAAGATGTCAGACAGTCTGAATTCAGTCTCAGACAACCGGCGCGCGAGTGTCCTCAACACGAAATTATACTAAAAAATGTCTGTATCAATAAGTCAGACCTTTAAATGTGTGTTTTTTTTTTTTTTAGAATAAAATAAATAACCTAAACTTGTCTAAATGTTCAGTTTTATCGCTGCATTACGCATCATTAGAAAAATTCAATTCAATTACAACATCGTCGAAGTCAGAGGGTTAGGCTTGCACTTACCTATTGCACCAAAAAGTAGATCCATATTTTATCTGTACTATTTACCTAGTTTAAGAGTTTAATTGAAGTTTTAAGTGCTACTATAACATGAGTATTGATTGAAAAACACCATACGCATAGTCCATGTCGATTTAGTAATATTATAATGAATGGTGAATGTTGACTATCTAAGATAAATCAAAGTATGTAACAAGAGTTCTGATTGATTGAGAGGCTACGCTGCACTGTAATGTCAGCCAATCGACGTTCGTGTTTCAATGGAGCAAGTGACGATTGCTTTGATGTCGTTATTTGTGTATGAGTCTATTATTGTGGGAAGGGTTTAGATAAGATACATTGATAAATATCGAGAACCGTTATGTAGGACGTCTTTGTTTATAAAGAGTATAAAATTAGGTTAAAGTTCAAACCGGTGTGATTTTCTTTTATCTTACAAAGACCTAGATTTGACGCTCAATTATGTTAGTTAACTAAATCTTGACATATTTTTTTTTTTTTTTTTTTTTTTTTTTTTTTAGGGTGAGGAGGGAAAATGCTTTTACGCACACAGGTAGCCAGCCTGTAGTGTGAGACTCCTGAGTTTATCACAGACTACTCACTAAAAAACCCCCTCTACTCTGTTGGACACAGACCTGGAATTGTTTGTCACATTACTTCAAGTCAGGCCAACATGTGACCTAAGCCCACAGGGCTCGCACCGTTTCTGGCATTATTTATTTTTTGACCTACACCGCATCCCGGTCGAGGTCAAGCTTCTTGGCGCGGAGAACACCCTGGATGTAAAGTGACACACAGGTCCAATTGTCCTCACCCTCCATCATCATCGGTATGACCGTGTCCACCGACAGCAGTCCTACGAACTGTTGAGCCTCTAGGCGGGGCCTTTCCCAATGCTGGCAGTGGAAGAAAGTGTGTTCCACGTCATCGGGAATGCCTGGGCAGTATATGCAATCGGGTGACACGGCTTTGCCCATCCTGAACAAGTACGACCGGAAAAAGCCGTGACCCGTCAGAAATTGGGTGAGGTAGAAGTTCACCTCTCCGCACCGCCGATTAACCCAAGGTTGGACCTGTTGTATCAGTCGCCTGGTCCAGAGCCCCCTTGTCTCCTGTTCCCAGCTCTCCTGCCACAGCTGGAAGGTCCGGGTGCGTTCCTCAATACTTGCCTGGTCCTCCCCACGGCGCTGATAAATTGCCTTCCTCTCCGCCGCCAAAAGTTTGACGGGGATGACTCCAGCAACCACCAGGACGGCGGGTTCGGACACTGTTCGATAGGCAGATGCTACCCTTAGTGCTGCCTGACGCTGCACTCGGGCGAGCCGCATCCTATATACCTCCTTATTGAGAGCGTCTGCCCAGACCTCCGCACCGTACAGGAGCACTGACTGGACCGCAGACATCAACAGCCTTCTGCGGCTGGACCGTGGACCTCCGACATTGGCCATTAACCGACTAAGGGAAGAAACCATTTTAGCGGCCTTGTCCGCCGTACGGGTGATCTGGTCTCGCCAGCTGAGCTTGCTGTCCACCATGACCCCAAGGTACTTTGCGGCACGAGTGGTTTGGACTTCAACGTTCCCCACCATCAAAGGCACGATGGTGTCAATCCTCTTTTTAGTCAGAATGACAATCTCAGTTTTGCTCAGAGCGAGCGAGAGACCATGTTCTGCCATCCATGCGTTAATGGTTCGCATGACTCGATTTAGTTTCAGCTGGGCAAGCTCAATGCTACGTGCAGCTATTAAAGCCGCAACGTCATCTGCATACCCAACTAGGACGGTTTCCTCAGGCATCTCGGATCTCAAGAGGCTGTCGTAGGCGACGTTCCAGAGGTCCGGGCCCAGTATGGATCCTTGAGCAGCACCAGAAGTTACATCCATCGTCCTGGAGCCTTCTGTAGTGTCGTAAATGATGAGGCGGGTACCGGAGGTAGTCCTCTATCATGCGCATGAGGTATGCCGGGACGTGGAAAGTGTTCTCCAGTGCGCCGAGCATATCGCACCACCTCGCGGAATTAAATGCGTTTCGCACATCAAGTGTTACAAGCAGCACAACCCGACGAGAATAGTTGTTAAACTCCTCAGCTCTCATTACGGCTCGCTTTACCTCCTCAATAGCGTCAACCGTTGACCGTCCCTTCCTGAAACCGTACTGACGAGGGGATAGATTCC